CCCATGTAGAATAAAACTTATTCTAGAATATATATATATACTTGTTTCCTGGTTCTCCCATGTCTTGGTTTCTGGTTTTGTTTCCCTGTCTTTTTGCCTGTGTTTTGCCCTGTTGTTTTTGTTTAGATGGACCTTTTTTCACATTTCCGTGTTTCTCAGCAGTGTAAGTCGTCATAGTTGGGTTAACTTGAATAGCAGTGAATGGGAGAGTACCACAAATATATTTTTTGCATTGAGACTGATAACGGCTGTCAGAAGAGAGAAGGATGTCAAATTTACCGTCCCTCCCATAGACGCTGAATTAGAAACACCCTCGCATTAGCGTTAACTGTTTTTTTTTGTTGTAATTTGATACAAAGGTGATATAATACAAATAATAGTGTTATAAATGTACATACATTAAAAAAAATACAAATATGAAAAACTTTCGAGGATTTACGATGCTGATGGCCGTTAAACGCGCCATCACAGTCTTGTGAAAAGGGTCCATTGATTACCCGTGTGTATGACCTTCTGCCTGCTTCTGGATTACGCCTTTGGACTAGCCATCAATAAACACTGCACTTGGATCCTCAGCCTTCGTGTCACTGCGCAGTTTTATGACAATGCGAGGGTACACATGAATGATGTTTTTAAAAAGTTCTGTTAATATATCAAACTTTTGAATTGGTAAAAATGACTGACCACTCCTTTAAGGGAATGAGAACAGATGAAAATGTGGTAAACATGAGGTATTGCTTTTAGGTGATGCATATATGCTAATTTGCTAGTTCAGGAAACACTGTTCATGTTTGTGTCACCTAATCGAATGCTATAACTTGAGCACTGAAGGGGCGGTCACACTGCACTTTTCGTTCCATTGACTTCCATTCATACGCATGCGAATGCGTAAGACCGGAAACGCAAGCTCATGTGAAAAATTTCGCATTTCGCTGCGTTCCAAAGTTCAAGTTTGGTGAACGCTGACCTGCGAATTCGCATCACGTGAAGACGTGTGACCAGTAGAAGATCGATACGTCACTGCGTGACCTCTCTGTACAGAAATTCAAAAATGGAGGAAGCACTAATTTTAGCCGTAGTGCAGCGTCCTATTTTATATAATACATCTTTAAAAGATTATAAAAATCAAATAAAAAAAGCTGCATGGTTCGCGGTGTCAATGGAAACAGGAACAGACGATATATATATATATATATATATATATATATGTATATA